AATTGTCAATTAGTATTTAATTCTGGAGTGCTGCTTTAGATTACTTACCCTCTAATATGCCTGTTCTGAACTGCATTCATGCTGCCCTTGACATCGTGTTTATTTCTTGATCAGAGACTAAGATAATATATCCTGGACATAGGCAGAGTGAGAAAGCAAATACCTTCTTGGACTAGTTTACCCTTGTCAAATGAAAAGAATATGCAGCAAACTAACTCGACAATGTAGTCCCTGACCTGTAGCTCACAGCACAATCACAGGAAGGATTAGTAGAGGTTTTTTTCACTGAGCCTTTCCCAGACAAAGTGTTACCGGATATTACAGCCCTTACCTCACAACAACAGTTGCTTTCTCCATTTTGCAAGGCAGCCGTGGAGCTTTATCCTTTACCAGTTCGCCCAGAAATGTGCTGTTTGCTGAATGGGTTAAGCGGTATGGTCGAAGAGGCGGCACATCTCTCTCACCTCATTATTATTGCAGAGTAAGATGTGGATGACAGAGAGCAGACATAGCTATCCTTTGAGTATGTTGTTTGAGAAGTCTCCTTTTTTGGTCTAGGATCGGGTCTTGCCCTGACCCAGCAGCATGAGTTAGTGAAGACTGAAAAATAGAGCAGCCAGGACTTTTCTATGAAAAAGGCTTTCTACTGTCCACTTGTTTTCCTACTATTCTGGTGAGGCCTCATAGCAAAGTTAGTTACAACTGCTTGTGTGCCTACCCATATTTATGGATAAACTGGTTTTGTATAGCACTGTATCCAATCTGAGAAATGCGTCTTTGCAGCCCAGCAGCTCTGCTCCAGGGTCGTGCGAGCTTGCTCGCGGTGAAGGCAGGGTAGCAGTCCATGATTGGAGTGCTGAAAAGTGAATGTCAGAATAATTCATTTTCAGAAAATGCAGATTAATCCAAAGTGAATCAAGTTCATGGAACTGAAATCTAGGTAGCAGATAAACTGGTAGAAATTTCCAGTGGGATTCTAGTCTCTGTGGGAGGTTGCTGTACATTATAGGAATACAAATGTTTTTTTTCCACAAAAGCGCATAAAGGTTGAAAACAGTTTAAATAAAATAAGAAACATCTGTCTTCCTCCTCACCTTTTTTTGTGTAGGTTATTAGATACTTCCCTGCTTAAACATATTGCCATATTTTAACCTTATTTTGTGTGTGTGTAGGGTTAATATGGAAAAGAACTGCCCAACTATGAGCTCTTCTTGCATTTTGATTTTTTGTGTCTGTGGTAGCAGCCTTGGAGATATAAAATGAAGGCAAGAAGATCACTCTTTAGAGTTCATAACAAAGTTTTTGATTGCCAACTAGGTTATTTATCTCATAAAAGCTTTCTTCAGATTTCACCTTCTCCAGCTGTATGTTTATTGACCATTTCACTTGGAGTTAAATTTTTCCCTTTAGCTGATGGTCAGCTTCTTGGAACAGGCAGAGGATGTTGCTGGAACATGTCTGAAGGCAAAAGAGAAGAGCAATGAGGCCAATCTACCCTGGGCAGCTCTCCAAAGGAAGTATTACACACTTTGCTTTCATGCCCTGATGTGTGAGACCTTGTGATTTGACTATTTGAAGTGGTAAAACTCAAAGTATAATTTAAAATAGAATAGGGTTTCCATCGTGTAGTATGGACTGTCCATGTTAGATGTGAAGAGTATATTGTAGTGATATTTGGTGTCTAAATAGCATCTTTCTCTCAAAGGTTGTTAGCCTGGCTATCTCTAGCTGTCTGTTTACTTAGGCAAATGTTACATTCACACATAACTTCCGAGGAACAAACCTGCCTTATGTGTTGTCAGGATTTGTTGCACAAAATCTCACTTGTTGGTTGGGAAACTGAGTCAGAAAAAGTTATTTATCCAAATGCTTGTAGTTGCTCCTCATGAGACATGGAAGTAGGTGCCTGGATCCCAGGTCTTCTGTTCTAGCCACTGGTCCATGCTGTACGTATGTTATCACCTATAGGCAGCTGCTCTTCAACGGAATGTTTGAGCTTTACTATGCTTCGGTGCCCTCTACTGCTCCATTAAAATAATGCTGTCTTGCTATTGTAGAAGCATGGCTGATTTTGTTCTGTGGGCTAATTGGCCCAGTAGTTCCCCTGGTGAGAAGTCGCTAGTAACGATGATTAGAGTAATGGACATACAGTCTACTGAAAATTAATTAATCTGGAGAATTTTTTTCTCTTCTGAAAGTCTGATGTGATTCAGACCGAGACCATGGGGTTTTCTTGTTTTATGGCAGGGGTAGATTTTTTAAAAAATATTTGTACAAGCGGTTTTTATTACTATCTGCTTGAGTTACTATCTGCTGCATATACAACATGTAGGATTTGATGTTCAGAAGTAAAGAGCTGTTTCGGCATCTACTGAAATCAGGAGTTATGAATTTTGATTTGGGAGCTTCTCCGAGTCAGCTGTGAATTAAACTGTAGATTCTCGTTCTTTTCCTCTGCTTTTGTGGGTTTTGGGTTTTTTTGCTGTGTCCTCCTTTCCTCTAAAATGTTTTGCTTTTTACTAGGTATGTTGTTAGATTCACCCTCTGGTTACTCCTGTTCAATAGATAGGAGCCTTGGGGTCCGTAAGCCATTGACCAACACTTCTGCTATACTGGAAGCTTGTTGTTACCATATGTTCAAGCTGTGATGGTCTTTGTGGAATGGATTGCAGGAAGCATTGCATGTTCTCGCCCTTGGAGAAGTAATCGAGACGGCTGTGTAATCTCCTTTCAGAGTTTTAGTCTTTGAAAATCCGATCTGTTACGGAAATTATTGTCCCATAATGACAGAAAGGTTAGTCCTGTGTGGCACTTCTTTTGTATAATTAGATGCAAACCAGACAAGGTACTCAATTTCATTCATTTTTTTAAATGTGTAATTTGCTATTAAATTCCCTGGCAGTAGTCCACATAGGTTGCCACTTGATTTTAAATTATGCACTAATGCAACGGTAATTTAGAATTTCAGCCCATTTCTAGCTTGCAATGCTGAGTTTTCTTACCAGTGTTAATGATGGATAATGCATTGAGAAGTGAGGGGTTGCACATTCATGGTACACTGCAGTGTGGGATTTTTTGCACATTTTCAGAATGTGTACAATGTATTATAATATAATCTAGAAGTAGGTTTTAGATTATTCATAATTCATCTTTGTGTTGCAGATCCCCCTATGGAATGATATTCCTAGCTGCAGTTTTTATTTCTTCAGTGATTCTTTCTAGCTCTCAGGAATACCCATAGTAAAATGTTACATTAGACTTGATTTTCCCTATTCTTAAGATATTCACAGAAGTTGAAAGAGAAAGGATTATCAAATGATGGTTATGATCTTGTGTATATCCCGTCATCCAGTTTACCTTTGTATCAAACCAAGAAGTCATTCTCTGCATTAAAAATGTGTGCCCAGTGTCTCACTGGAATTCGTCCGATTTCAGCTCCCAATGATTGGTTCCAGTTACCCCCTTCTACAATTACTAGATATAAATGGGCTTCCAGTAAGTGGTATTTGCTCTTGGGAAGGCGTTTGGTGTGCTGTAATCCCATGTTCTCTCTGTGAAGCTCCATAGGTAAGACATTGTCTCAGCCCTTAGGCCGTTTTTATTACTACTTTTTGGACCTTTGGCTTTTCAACAGTATTTAAAAATATGGCCACCAGAATTGTGGAGGACATTTCAAAATCATTTTCACCGTCTGTAAGTGCAGTTGTAATTACTTCTTATTGTTACTGGCTAGTTAGAGCTCACCTTACCAGTTCTATCTATTAATTAGTAATTACACCTAATTCCCTTTGATCCCTTAGTGAAGGCTACTTGAAATCTGCCACTCATTTACATTCATTTAGCATATACTTTATTGATTTTATAAATCTTGATTTTAAAATTGTGTGTACCCAATCAAATGCCTTGCAAAAGCTGGAATGTTTTATAATGGATTAACCCTCCCAGCCACACCTGTAATCAGTGTAGCATCAGGTTTATTTGACTGTCTTTCTGTTGGTGCCCATGGCAAAGCTTTCCTTGCTTCTCTGCTTATGCTTTTTTGTTTGTGAAAAGCGCGTGATTTCCCTTATTTGTATGGAACCATTACACTGGCGCAGAAAGCGAGTGCAATTTGTATTTCAGTTTTTAAGATAGGCTGTCAGCAAATCCTGTCCTGACCGCTCTTGAGAGTATCATATACAAAAAAATAATTGTTCCTAGATTTGTGATTGATGTAACAGAACTGATAAAAGTTACATTGTTTAAAAGTGTTTATAAATCACCCTGTCCATACGTTCATTTCCTGTAATCTGTCATTATGCTTTCAAACGTAATTGTGAGAGACACAAAACTGGCTTCGTAACACTCTGGAATGAGTTTTGCTTCCATTTGGTATACGTTGAAAGGTGGCTCAAAGCAAAAATTATAATCCTGGAATACCATGTACGTTACAACAGGATATCTTTGCTTTGTGGTTTTGAATTACTGAAGGGCGTAGTCTGTCTTCTGCGTTTTTTCCCCTGGCGTTGCTGGGATTTATGCAAAGTAACTGGGCCAGTTAAAGGGATTGCTTGGCAGAGAGGATCGCATGTGTGTTCTGTGTTTTTTTTTTTTTTCCAAATACAATTCTTGTTCTCACTTGGGAGGTTAACATCGTGACAGACTGGGTTTACGGTCGATGTTGAGCTGGGGATTGGCTCTGCCCGACGCAGAAGGGCTACTAGAGCTGGGGTATGATCACAGGCGCAGCGAGCTCTGCTCCGTGCCTGGAGGTGCTCCCCAGCTCCTCAGCGAGGCCTGGGAGAAGTTGAATGAGGAGGGAGCAGTTATTGCAGCAAGAGCGGAATCTGTGCCACTCTTCATGCACGGGTTTCTGCATTGCAAGGGCTGGAAAAGTAGTTCTGGAGAAGCAACATAAGTTTTACTACCTTGTAGTTCTTTGCCCAAATCAGCCAGGAGCGTGCTGGAGGCAGAGGTACCCTCTGTGTTACGAAGTGCCCTTGCTCTAGCGGCTCGCTAGAATGGGACAACAGGTACAGCACAAACAAGTTCTTCTAATCCCTACGCTTGTCACTCAGGGTACCCAGCCGTTGCTGCCGCTGAGGTTACTAGCCTTCAGACTGTACACGTTTTCTTCCAATTTTAAAGATCGTTCCTTTAAAGAAGAACGATACGGCACACAGTATTGTCCTTTGAAGCTACCACGCAGTCTTCTAGAAGCAAGTATTAACTGCCTAAATATCCTGTTCAGTTTTCCTTACTCGTGAGTCCTGTTAAGGAAACTGTCCTTTGCCCAGCTCCGTCAAGCCATATGAGCCTCCTGTTTTGCGTAGTGGGCAAGGACAACATTTTAATTTAGTGCTGTAAAAACAAGAAAGTAATTTTTGTTCTTTCTCCCTTTTTTTTTTTTATTTAGTGCTTCTCTATTCTCTGGGTAAATTGTCAGCTCTCTCACTTTGTATAAAAGATTTGCACTGACAGACCAAAATCTTTCACTGGCATCTGTGTTAGTTAAGTAAAATGTCTTATTATTGCAAACTTGTTTTAAGGAGCAGATTTGAATGGCTTTGTAACTGTAAATGTGGAAATTGTGGCATTTAAAGGCAGATGCAGAGTATCTGTACCAGGAGATTTGATTTTAGTCAGGAAGTACTGAGCAGCTTTCTGAATTAGGGTTTTGGGATGTATTAAAGAAGTTAGCTGTGCAATTGAAAAGTATCCCTTACGTCCAACTCAGGATGTGCTTATTTTTCCCCATCTGAAAAATTGGGAAGTAACATTTGAGTTATGTTGCTCAGTAAAGCAGTAAGAGAAAATTCTACTGCTGTTGTTAGAGGTCAGGGTAGATGGTCAGGCTATATGTCCATCCTTCTTTTCAAATCAGCAAAAATCAATGCTTTTTTCCTCTTTCCCAGGAGAGAATTTAGTAGCTACTTCAGGTGTTATGTTCATGCCACTGTATCAAAATATGGTTGGTGTGATGGTACATTCCAATGCTCCTTTACTTGTCAGTCCCTTTATTAGACTTTCATAGTTAAAAATTTAGAATAGATTTCTTCTAACGATACGATCAGTTTTAGTATTAACTTAGGAACTTTCTCTTACTTGGGGAAACTGGTCATGTCTAAACAGTTCTGTACCAGCAAAGCTGTATTTTCCCTCAATACATCTCTGACTTAGATTTGTATTCATTTTGCATTTGTGCAGACACACTTGAGGTCTGCTTTTAATTACTGGGTAGGATTTACAAATCAGAAATGCAAACACAAGCACACAGCTTTTTTTATCATATAAGTCACCTTTCAAAAACTGTCAAGGAATCATATTTTTAGAAGCTGTACTTGTATAGACACAAGTAATGCAATAGCTGTGTCAGTCTTTGAGATTATGAACATGCTTACGATGAGAATATTCTTGGCGTAAGTCAGGAGTATTATATAATAAGGAAACAATGTCTTTTTATACTTTTCTTCCAAAACATTCCCTAGCGAGAACTAGACTAAAAAACCCCCGTAGGATTGCCTATGAATAGATCTCCTTGCAACATGATAACTTTAGCCAAATTACACAAAGTAGATTTAAAATCCTTGTCATGTTTTCATAGTTATACTTTTAAAACCCTTTATTGGCATCTAATGTGAATTCTGATTGTATAACTGTAAGTCCCAGACCAGCAATGTATAGATGTACAAAACTGTCCCTCTAGCAGTATGGATGTCTTAAGAGGAAGGAGACAGTGATCAAAAGCAATAAACTACTTGAATGAAATAAAATAAAACATTGGGACTTCACCTGATGCCCCAGAACATCCAAAAAAGCAGTGCAGAAGGCTGAGGAAAATGTCTTTGGCTCAGCAGTGGTATAGGTCTATGACTGTGTATGACAAATACAAAGCCTAGCGTGCAGTCGGGAGAACCTCTGTTGCAATGCAACCTTCAGAAAGGTCAGAGACCTGCTGTGACAAGAGGCGTCAAAAAGGAAGGGGATTGGCCCCTACAGCAACTCAGATTTAGAAAATACGCAGTGGTAGATGGTTACCCTCTTCATTCCTTTTGCTTCCCGTGACTTACCTATTTCTCAAGTGCAACACAGAATACAGCCCAACACATTCTACATGGCCACGTACAAATGCCGAAAGATTTGTGGAGCAAAAGAAGGAAGATGAATTTGGGTACAGCAGCTGTTGTCTGTGTTAATGATGTTTCTTAATGTTTTATGAGTAGTTTCTAAAGAAAGCTGTTAATCCACAGTGACCAAGAGTATCAGAAAATATATGCATGATAGGTGGTATTTGCAGTGTGAATAAGGATTTGCGAGTGTAAGTTAATGATCCAAATTGGGCAGGAACAGTTCATCAGCAAGCTTAAGAGCCCCAACGGAGAAGTAGTTTGGGGTATGCAATGTATCTGTTTCCAGACAGACCACCTGAGAATAGGTATATGTCGCCAGTCTCCAGAAGGCAATGGAATTGTCTTGTTTGAGTTATCTAGGCTACCTTTATATTAAATGAAAAACATGAAGTTGATTTGTGATAAAAGGGTAGAGCAAAACAGTAATTAGATGATTTGAAGAACGCTGCCTGGAGTGGGAAATATTTTGAAATAGTGTGTTTTGGAAACGAGTTCCCTCTGGCAGGCATGAACCAGGACACACATTGGGAAAGAACAGATAGCTGAGGTGGACCTTGTCTCCAAGCAAAATATGAGTCATTGCAAGGCATATGGATTAACACAGTGATAGACCTTTCCTTCCTTACTTTTGTTTTCAGAATCCTGATTGCTGCTTCTGTGCAGCAGAATCTTAGCCCTTCTTCTCCCCTCCCTCAATGTCTGGTATAGATCAAACAGAAAATGGCTCTGGAAGAAGCCCTGTTCTATTCCTTTGCTCCAAGGCAAGATCAACTTCAAGTAAACTTTACCTGATGGATATTTGTCTAGCTTGTTCTTTAATGTATTTGATGATCAGGGTTGCACAGCCTTCCAAAAACCAGCTTTTACTTATCGTTGTAGTTGGAGAATTTCCCTTTTTTTTTTTCTTTATTCTTATCTAGCTGCTGCTGTGGCTTTAAGCACACAAAGAGGAAAGGAGAATGAGATCACAAGCCAAATTTATACTTTTACCATTAGCTATTTATCATCTCTACAGAGACTGAGAAGCTTGTTCTTTATTCTTGAACTAATAAGATGTTACACAGATAATTTTTAATAGTGTTGAATGATGTGCATGGAAAACCCATGGAAGTTAGACACAGTGTATCAGTGAGGAAAAAAAATTGGGTGCTGATCTCCCTTTGTGCTCAGCAACATAAATATGGTAAACTGGTTATATTGTGTTCTTTGAATTAACTAACAAATGGAGAGCAAGACCTTTTTTAAGGGAAAACAAACCTCCTTTTTTGTGAGGATATATTTTCACAAGAGAAATATGTAATGCCATAAAATGTGGAACGTTCAGAAGTGTTTAGAATCTGTCAGTGGGTGAGCTAGTATAAAATCTGTTAGCTGTGTATGATGGACTGCATAGCTCATTGGTCCCCTACCTCTCTGGAAAGCTTCACTTAAATAATTTAGCTTTATGTATTTCAGGGGAAAAAAGTGTGCAAACAAGCACGAAGTTGTTTTGGGCTTTCAAAATAAATTTGGATACAGAAATACATGAAAAGATATCTCTTTCATGCCAAACAGCTTCTCAATACTAAAGATGTTGAAAAAATATAATTTGGTTAAAATGTATGTGTGGGGAATTGTTTGAAGTTATTGTTCTCAAGACTCTCATTTAGTATCAGTGCAAACATTTTCTTACTTAACCTAGAGAGTGAGATGTGATGATAAGGAGGAGACTATTGACAACTAAAATGTGACTGACAACTCTTTACAACAAGGGTAAAACAATCATCACTTACCTAACAAATGCAACTTATTTTAGAGGGAAATGGGGGGTGGAAATCCAAGGCATCTGAGGCACAACTTGGCTTCAGTAGATAACCAAAAGCTGATGTTGTTTTATTTCTCTTGTGGCCAAAAAAGGATGGTGATTTTAAGAGGATTTTTTTTGTAGGTATCTGAAGAAGCATAATTCTAGACTCCAGCCAAAGACCTACTTTATAGCCAGAACATAGATAAATGGAGGCTGGTAGAAGAAATAAATTCGAGAAAAGTATGTAGGAGATTTTTTCCCTCTTTGATCTTTATCTGCCCATATGTGTAAGAAATCACATCCATGTCTGTAGTTTGGCTGTATCTAACATGGAATTTGGGTGGTTCTTGTAGGTCCTATACAAAGTCCAACAAAGTCAGTGAGATACTTTCCATTGATTTCAATGGCTTTTAAATAAAGCTTTATTCACTAAATACCTGAGAGTAATATTTTGGTTACCTCTCATTTACCAGAGTATAAGGCAGAATTTAAAAAAAAAGAAAAAAAAAAGGATCTTTGGTTAATTTATTTACACAGATTTTCCTTAAATCCAAATGCTAACGTCCCTTTTAATAAAAAAAAGCCAACCAACCTCTTCCCTTCTCTAAACCCTTCGAATACAAGCAACCAGGGAATTATATAAATAGATATTCTTACCTTTACTACAAAAAATTCATGCGGAAGTCCTATCTTGGAATAAGCTATTCATTAGTTGGCTTGGCAGAAGGAACACAATCCAAATGAATGAGCTGCCAAGAGTATTTTTAGTGGTTTTATACGTTGCCCATTCAAATCTTGGAAAATTTCTTTAGAAAATTGGACAAACTGACCACTCTTTTTTATGGGCTCTTGCAAGATCTAAAAGTGAAAAACAACTATTGTATTCAGGGTTTGTTAATGGAGCTTTCAGGCTACAGAACTTGAGAAAGTACTGCTGGGAAGCTAATACAATAACCATAAAATATTGGATTGATAATAGGAAACACTGGCACTGAACTGATATGGAAAGAGTCATGCTAATATTCCATATCCAGGCCTGTTACCCTGTGCCGAGTGCTAAAGATACTGTAGTTAAACACACACAGTAGTAGAGATCTGGAACAAAGAGTCAAACTCAAGATAGATGAAACTGTCGTCTTCTACCATGAATACTGTTGATTGGGTAATTCTGTCTAAGGAGAATTAAAAGCCGGAAACTTGGACAGAGCAGCGGCAGGTTGTGCTATCATTTTTCCAAACGGGAGACTATATATGCTTCTACCCCACATATGTAAGCCCTCATCTTCCTTTAGTTGAAGTCAGTGGCATTTTTTTTCTTTTTCTTCTTTGGGAATTGGATCTAGACATGTGCTGCCATTGTAACTGTTCCCGTGGCAGGTTTTTTCTCCCGAAGCTGGAAGCTAGAAAAATCAATAAAAGGGAAACTATTCACCAGATATCAAATGAGTTTCAGTGGATTATATTTTATTTGACTCAAAGTGGAAAGGAATGACAAGAGAATGTTACATTTTTAATCCCACATAAAATAGCTTTCTGGGAAACTGTTCTCTGCACATGGAGCTTAATTTTGAGGAGTTCTTTCCTCAGCAACGCTGTCTTTTTTTCAACCTGTATAAAGGTGAGATCCAAAATCTGCCCTGAAAAGATGTTTTGGCTTGCAACTTCTGCATGTTGGGTTCCTCTGTAAGATGAGATATAGGCGAGACATTTTAATGTTTATTTTAATTATCTAAAAAAACTTCCTGAAGAATTTGTGTTTTGTTGTACGTGAGAGAACACAGCTGGAGGAAGCTTGAGATGACAGAATTGGTATGAGCTTTTGACTGTGAATAACCAGTGTTCAAACAAAAGTTATCTCTCTAAGAGAACAGCGGCAGAAGCAGCCTAAGGACACATTTCACCAGTGCAGGTGCCCGCCGTAGAAGTTTCACAACATCGCCAAGTCAGGCTACCCTTGTGTAAAATGAGCTCTTCACAACAATGAATGAAACTGTTCTTCAAGTGCAGGAAATCAGCTGGAGCCAGTGAAGCTGAGCAAACTTAAATATTAAATTTGTCTCGAAGTTA